CCTACACTCCTGTTTACTACTGTGTATGTGCACCATCCTTCCTAACAAACATTAAAGAGAAAAACTCTTAGTATCATTTACACGGCAGTCTTCACCTTTTATCACCCTCCAGTCAGGAACAACACGTCTCTGCTTAGCAGGGTGGCAGATGTCCCCTAATCCTGTCATCTAGTTACTCATCTAAGGCGAGATGGCATGTGGCAGGCATTAGTACAGAACACAGAAGTCACAGTTCCCAAAGCTTGGCTTTCGTAACAACAGAAATCTTAAGATATCAATGTGGAAAATAATTTTCCATATGCCCATACGTGATGACTTAGAATTTTTTTTTTTTTAAAGCAAGGGATCGATGCACACAGAGACAGGGGTCACCCCTGCAGCAGAGGCTGGCAAACGAAAATGAGTGTGAACAATCCTCCACTTTTTACGTTACGTGGGCTCACAAAATTCAGTTGATTATGATGTTTCATAACCCACAAAGACTACCTGTACACAACAGTTGTGTGCATTCAATATCTCATTTATGTATATTATATATAATAGGAATAATTCTTTCACAAGCCAATATAGAAAAATACCATAGTGTAAGTAAAATAACTTTACTGAAGTTGTGATAATGAACGTATTTACTTTAACTAAAAGCTGAAATTCACTGAATAGCTGAAAAGGCCATGGGTAAACCTTGCCGTCTTCTAACGGCAGCCAAGGCACCGGCCTGAGGAATGGGCTGGCTTGTTTCGGTGGCCGGCAGCCCCGGGTGGCGGGGGCACACAACCTTTTCTGACACTGAAGTCACGACAGACTGCTTTGCAAGAGACACTGTCGACAGTCTCCCGAGTGCAGCACCCCTGTCCCTCCCTGATTTTCTACTGTAAGTTGCTTTTTAAAAAATAAATACATATGTAGAAAGAGATCACTTCTCAGAGAAAACCAGCACGGCGGAACATGCTCCCAGGAGACCAGCAGGACTCACAGGAAGGGCAGGGTTCGTTAACAAGACCCTCCAGGAGCCAAACGACCCCCCTGCGAAGGCTGCTCCTTGCTGGCACCCAGGACCACGCCCGCGAGAGCCTTCCCGGCCGCGTCCGTACTTCACATGAGAAGTTTACCAGGAAAGGCTTCGCCCCCTCAGACAGAGGCAGACCCAGACATAACACTGTCTGCTCTGAAAAGAGAAACATCTTGCCGCGCATGTGCCAGGATGTGCAGCCACTTCTACCCATTTCTCCCGGTTCCCTGAGATGGGAAGTATGGCACAGCCAGCGCTCGCTATGTCACGGCTTCGTCATGACACGGGAGGATGGCTGCGCGGTTTCAGGAATGCAAACATGATATTCACATTGGATTTTTTATACAGGGGAAAACAGACACAGCGGATCACCTCTCTGCTTTTACACAACTCCTGAGTTTGTTTCACACCCATCTGAAAGGGGAAACTTTTCCAAAAATGAGTAACGTTCCCCTTTTACAGAAACTACAAGGAATTTATGTCCTGGGCAAATTTGGTATTTTCTTTAATTCAAGACAAGGTCATTGGTTTCCCTCTTGACATAAAAAAGCAAGAGATAGCTTGTATGTTCCTTTGCTACCCAACTTCTAAGTCCAAAAAAATTTAAGATGTCTAAGGGCATCATCAATAATATGTTAGATATTTATAGTTCTAACCTCCTTAACCCTCAAGGGACGGGTGGTGAGCGGGAAGAAAGGCTGGGAAGGCTCCCTTGTGCAGTGGCGAGTGGCTTCTGGACACTGGCTCTAACCCAGACTGGGCACCAGAAAGGGCTCTGTGTCCTCATCTATAAGCGAAAGGGATTCAGCTCAGAGTTCTAAAAACATCCTTGTCTGACACGCAGGGGGCACTCGCTGCTACAGCTCCCACTGTTGCAGATACTACGGCACCGGAACTGACAGCCGCTCACCATGTTTGGGGAAATGTGTGGAAAACTGCAAAGCTCAAAGAAGCTACACAGTAAGCTAGACAGCGTCCACGAGAAAGACTGAATGATCCCATAGGGCCACTGACCACAGGGCGGTGCTTTTCTCCAGGCCATCTCCAAGGCTGAGGGTACTGGAGGGGGAAAAACACCGTAACTGGAATAACTGGCAAGGAAGGCCACGGGTAGAGGAATATATTGGTCAAAAACCTCCCTCTCTGCTTGAGTCTAATAGTTAGCATTGAATGGACTGCCGCCGGATGTCCAGTATCTTTCAAAAGTCTGAAACATGATCCATTTATGATGTCTTGCGAGCACCTCGCTAAACAATGGGAAAAAGCAGGCACCCTGGATCAGTCTTTCTACAGCTCTACCTGAGCTCCATCGAGCTGTGCGGCGTCAGGTATGTGGCTTGACTTTCCTGTGTTTGAAAGTCCCCACCTGTAAGATGAGGAGAATAGTGGTTCCTACCTCGTAGGACTCTCACAAGGATTAAAACCATAACAACGTCCACAGGAAATGCAGCGGTGACTAAGAGACAGCGTCCAGCAGAAGTAAGGCCAGCTTCAGTGTGGCTGGTCGGGTAGTAATATGGGTGCAGTAACTTACAGTTTGAATTTGAACGCCTCACCTAAAATGTCACATGGTGTGCTTGAGTGTGATATTGTTATGTTACAGAATTGTGTGCTTATGATTCTGTAATAAAAGATTTTGAAAGAAAAACAAGGGGCGTTATTTGTGCCGGACCCAGTATCCCAAATACTTGCTTAGTGGTAGCTGTTGTTATTGTTCATATTTAACAGGCAGAAGAACATGTGTATAGTTTATGATCCTGAAGACCCCTCTTCCACACTACACTTTGTAATCACCCATCACGCCAGGACCACTGTCACGCAGGGCAGGACGCGGCTGGAGGAAAGGACCATACAGCGTTCCAGAGGCCAGTGCAGGTGACAGAGTCACACGCATAGCACAGAGCAGGAGCTAGAGGTCCAGGACAGTCACCATCATCGAAACAATCAAGTCGCAAAGTCAAAATAGCCTTTTCACATCAGAAAACACCCAATCCACTCATTTTCTCCAAATCCAAATTAGCTCCTATTTTCGAGCACACAGCTCTTAGAATTCAACCTTCGGCCACGGGGACCTTCTGCTCTGAGGACGCAGAGGGCTCAGCTTACGGTGACCTCTTGTCTAGAGAGCTGTTTGGCTTATATTCCTGAACTAAGAGGACAAAGTAGATGTCTTGATCCTTCTAATGACACTCCGTCTAGCAGCACTGTCTACATTTGCGCTAATCAACACAATAGTCAGGAGCCATATGTGGCTACTGAACAGAAACCAAATTTTTACCTCACTTAATTTTCATTGATTAAAAATGTAAAAGTCACAGGTGGCTAGTGGCTACCAGGGTGGACAGGGCAGGTTTAGTCAGCTGGGGAGGGCTGCAGTAAGTAGCACTGAATTAAGTCTGGCCCAAATAGGAAGGGAGCTGGCACCGGTCAGAGGTGTGTGTGCGGACCAGGGACAAGCCTCAATCTCATCTGCAGGCTCAGTCAGAGGGTGTGACTCTCCATTCCCTTCACTGAAAGAGAGGCTCTCTTTCTAACATCCTCAGTGAGTCTCAGATACTTAAGGGTCATTTTCTGCTCTTAGAAGAAACAAGATTGGCTGAAAAGAACCAGATTATAAAAGAGAGGAGAAAAAGAGAACTTTACCCAAAATAATACATAATGTCCCTTGGTACTCAGAGAATAAATATTGAATTCTGGCAGTTTTACAGAAGTATGTAAAATCAATAGAGTGTTAAACTATCAATTATTTTCAGCTGTGTTATAGGTCTTTCCTCAGTAATGTTACAGATGTGTGCCACAAACAGGTCATTAAAATGATTCAATAAATAATTAAAAAAAAAACAGATTACACAGAGAGAGTAAACCACATTATCCATTTTAAATGAAGAAAATATACTCAAGCCACTGCAAAAAAACCACCGTGCCTGGGCTGAGAGCACCACATCCCCTAGCACATTAAAGATAATAGGCTTCATTTTCTCAGAGAGGAAGAGAACCACAACATGTGATTGTTTCAAAACCACTGTACTGCCTCCATGAAACACCACCTTGGCCGCTGTGTTGCAGACTCAAAGAAAGTCACAGACAACGCCACCATCGTGAGAAAATTCAGGAACCTATATTCTCATTTCCAGACCCAAGATGGGTTCCTACAAATCCTTCCCAAGGGGAAACTATCTCAAACTGTCATGAAAATTATTTCCAAGATGATCCTCAGAGCCTTGAATAAAGAGTCATTCTGGGTGCACTCTACTGTGTCACCTCCGCGCCCTCCCCCCAAGTTACCTATGCCTCGCTCTCTCCTAAGATCCAAGGGCTCTTCTCTTGCCTCCCTAACTTGTTTCCTGAGCCCACACAGCCCAGCTGGCTCACTTCTGCTTCCTCCGTAACGTTTAAATAAATTTTCTCTTATAACTTTAAAAAAAAAAAAAAAAGAATCATTCTGAAGTCTTCTTTGGGGTTCGAATGTGTCTAACCAAAATATAAGCATCCTTTTTAGCTTCGGTGCTTTAATGCCAAGAAAACTCTAGAATTCTTCAGGTCTCTCGCAAACTCTGAGATGCCCAAAGGAGAGCTGGTTAGGGCCTTAATTCAACGGCTCTGAATGGAACCAATCAAATAATTATTTGTACTATTCTCCTTCTCCCTTAAAGAATTCCCAGTATCTAACACAGTAAGAATGCACTTCTCCTGATACAAATAACCATTTTCTTGGAGGTCTGTACAGAAAATTTATCCCGAGAAGATCTGTTTCACTCAAGTCCCATCATGGCTTGCATCCCAAAGCAAGACTTTTGCAACCAGAAGGCTACTATCACAGCAGAATTTCTATGACTATACATTTAAATCAAACACTTCCATATCCAAAATGGCAAAAGCTGTCATTGTTCATTCTCTAAAAAACACATGCCTGCTGTACCTTTTCTTGAATAATATACAACATCAAGTTAAAAATTAATAGCTGGAGATGCAAGATAACCTCAACTCTTACCTCTACCACTGTGGTTTTCGCCGCTTTGCACATGGGCAAGTTGAAATTCCGTGCACTTTTCCTATGTTTTGGGGGGGCGGGGGAGGAAGAAGGCCAAAAATCAGAAGCGTCTCCTTCAGCTTTAATTATAGACTAAAAGAATTTCTATAGACTAAGAATCTGTGAATCTTTTCAAGAGAGTATATCATATCTTTTGTTAATAAAGTTTTCTTTAACATTTTTATTCTTTTTCAGTTACAGTTCATCTTAATTAAAGTTTCATAATTATTTTATAAATAAAAGCAACATAATAGCCACTTCATTCAATTATATGGTTTTATATGGGGTTGAGGAAAAGAGAGATGCTATTTTTTATGTTGAATATATAAATTTTATGCAGAAAAGTAAGATGGATATTAATAAATACATTTAAAGCTAATTTCACTGACTCTTTAACTGGGATGCCATTTTGTTTCTGTAGTTAAATGTTTCACTAAACTTGCTTCTATTAAAATAGTAAGGAAAAGTAGCAAGTACTTCATATGAGAAGGTATAGCAATTATATTCCCTATTAAAGAGAAGCCTATTGCTGAAATTAAATGAAACATTCACTGGTGATTCGTGAGTCACCTATAAAGATCACTCCAGAGAACCCATTTCTAATGACATTTTTGAAAGTATAACACCCACATCAGACCCTGAGGTATAAAAATTTCAAGAAGGTACCAATTTTGCTGATGCTTTGCATTCCCAAGTTCCTAAATTAATGTACTCCCTCTAACCATAACAATTTAAATATATTTGTTTTCGAGTGTAGGTTGCTAGCCAAGTATCTTTGGTAAAGGGAAATAAGTTTCTAGCACTTTCAGGCTGCCAATGTTTCTTTCACGCAGACTCAAGGGCAGGTGTATGTCTAGGACAGGAGCCCTTGTGAGTTTTCACACGCTCTTCTGCTGGATTCCACCTGAGGTCCAGCACCAAGAGCTCCTGGGACAGCGGCCAGAGGCAGAGCGGGCAGGGCCCTCCCCAGTAACTGTGGCCTGGACACACCTCTGTACCAGTCGTCCCACTAAACGTGAAGCTTGTCCTAAAAGTCAGTGTCTTAAGAATCTAAGTTACTCCACCATTGGTGATAAATGCACTCAATTCACTTCGAAACTCAATGTTTATTTGAACCACAGGCATGAAGTCCATGTTTAGAATAACAGCCCTTGTGCAGTCTTTAGAAACTAGAGCCAGGCAATGGAGCACAGGGCAAGTTGGTGGAAATATTTTAAATAATTCATTTACTTTTGCTACTGTACAATTTCATTATTCTTATTTTAAACAGCAACTCAACGTTGCAAACATTACACCAAAGTGTTAAGCACCGTAGACGTGATGCAAAATGTCTTCTGTAACTGCCAGAATTAGTTGTAATTCCAAAAACTCGTTGAATTCAAGAAAGCAAATATAGTATTAATACTATGAGTTCTTCAGAGATGAGCAAAAGCAACATGAGAGTGCTCAGTGAGACCTGAATTGTGCTTGCACAAAGAATGCATTTGGTAAAGGTATAAAATTACTAACTAAAAGTAGTTAATGAAAATATTGAAAAAAATAATCTCTGTAGCCTAATAGGTAAAATTTTTAATACCAAACATTTTGGGAAAAGTTATTTGGAAAACTGTATGTGTATATTAAAAGGTGGCATAACTTTTACAAAACATATAAATCCCAAAACATTAAATACTTGGCATTAAGCAAGCTTAGCATAATCAAAAGGTCTTAAAATCTATTAAGTCTGTGGATTAATATCTTAGGCTATCCAGTTAATGAGAATGAAAGTTCAGCATTATGAAGTTTAAAGAGCTTTTCAGACAAAACCTTTATAAGCATTTCCTAGTAGATTCCAATAGGACTGGAAAAGACCTGACCTAAATAATTACTAGCAATATTTTTTTCCAAATATCAAAGTAACTTATGCATTTTAAGACAATGCATGTAAATATTGGGTTGGCCAAAAAGTCTGTTTAGTTTTTCTGTAAAATAAAAGACAGTTTTCATTTTCACCAAAAACTGTATTGATTTGGATATTTTGAGTACCTCAGCTATCTCCCACGTAGTATACTGTTGATTGTTCTCAATTAAAGTCTCGATTTGATCCCTATCAACTTCAACTGGTCTACCCGACTGCGGAGCATCGTCCAGCAGGAAATCTCCAGCATGAAACTTCACAAACCACTTTTGACACACTTGATCAGTCACAGCACCTTCTCCATAACTGCACAAATCTTTCTTTGCGTTTCAGTTGCATTTTTACCTTCTTGAAACAATAAAGCATAATATACCGAAAATGTTCCTATTTTCTTCCATCTTCAATATTAAGATAGCGATACAAAACTTCACCAATTTTGCTGGGAATTTTTTTAATGCAAGCTGATATGACAGCTGTCACAATACAGTCTAACAAAATTGTTTCGAATGACGTTCAAGACAGCTAAGTGCTACTAGAGCCATCTTATGGAAAAAAACCAAACTAACTTTTTGGCCAACCCAATTACAATATCAAAATTAAATACAACTGTGTGCTTTTATCATGTTTTTGGAGCATGTCAATATTGTAACTGGTCTTGATGACTAAAATTCACATAGGAAAACACAGTTTGTATCTGACTAAATGTAACAGTATTTAGATTCAAATAGCTATTGAGCAGAGCAACATGGACGTCAACCAATCAGAACAGGCTCCCACAAGTACTCCGTACCCGTGAGCCACTGTTCACACACACACTCACACAACATGCACGTAGGCATGTTTGATTTTAAGCCATTTTTAAATAAATTTTTAAATACCAAAGACATCCATTTTGTGAATCATAATTTAGGACGTATCAAGTGGCTGAAATGCATCACATTAGTATTTTTTAAACCCATCACACTACCTGAAAATTATGTTTCCTGCACGGTCGGCCTTCCAGGCTTTCACCAAGGCAAAGTCTCCTGTAATTGCTTCCTCCAAAATGAAATGTTGACCATTAAACTCTCTCACCTGCGGGAGACGGAGAAGCTGCTGTCAGGTATTTGTACAGCTGTTTGACTGTGATACGCGCTCTGACCGAGGCAGCTACGCAGGAGCTACAAGCTTAGTTGGGAAAGGTTTCTCAGAGAGAAAAGAGTCTAAATGGAGACCTTGAGGCTGAGTGGTGGGAAGCAACTGGGACCTTGTCCAAGTGCTGGAGGGGGGAACCGAGGGAACAGCATAGGCAAAGGTTCGGTGACACGCGAGAGCTGGGTCAGCCTGAGGAACTGAGGTACACACGGTATATGCTAGTATTTATTACTTGTACACAAAGTTTACATACAGTCCCTCTTTCCTTATACCCCAGGAAAAACTATATAATTCTCATGAAGTGGCCAAAGTGTTGTTTTTATCTATGAAATAGTTATAAAAGTCCATTAATCTCTCCTAGCTAATCTGTAATTACTTATTGAGAATTTCATTGGAATTCCTAGAATCTACAGATGAATATGGAGAACTGACATGCCATACCTTCCCACCCATTAGCATAATATTTTTTGAAGTCTTCTTTTACCTCTCTCAATTATAATTTTCACCCCAAAATCTTTGAGTATATTGTTTAGGTTTAGTTATAGGTACTTCACAGTTTCTGATGCTACTATGAATGTTACATTTTATTCTATTACTCCCTCTCTTCTGTCATTTCTGGACTAGTGGAAAGCTATTGATTTGTGTATGTTTACTGCCTTTGGTCCTACTGTGTATGAAGCAGAGAGGTGGAGAAGAGAAGCATAAAGCAAAACTATGCCTAGTCACTGGAAACAACGTCAAAGCTGTGCTCCATCTGCCACGGCACAGGACGGGAGCCGCTAAAAGGCAGGGCTCCATTCCCATTCCCATTGCACCCCCTAGTGGGCAAACTGCATGCATTTACGGGACGCTTCAGGAGACAGTTTGGGTTCATTAACCTCTGTAACCGTGGTTTAAAACTGAAACCCTTTCTTAAACAGCAGCTTCCTCAAAGACATTATCCCACCACCTTCCTGCTAAAAAAGATTAATGAATTTATGGAATCACCAATGAATGAGGACCTTATTATCATGAACTTAGGCAAACTATATAAAAGACCTTAATTAGCTGTACATCAGTACAGTTTTTTGAAGAATCTTATTTAAGAGTTGTCATTGTAAACATCAATGGTAATGTTTACATACAGAGTATTTTACATACAGATCTAGAAAACTACATATAGTTTTAAATATATGTTAACCCAAAGTTAAAAAAAAATTAGGCTTTTTATAATTTTAACTACATAATTTCCTGACAGATATACACACTAGCAGTTGGTTTTAGCTATTATTCTAAAATTTTATAAAAGGAGGGAATTGGTTCTGTCAAACTAGCTACTACATTCACTTGAGAGTCATGCCTTTCATGATCTCAACTTCATCTTTCAGTCCTTTCTCGAATCCACACCAATCAAATATTCACCACTCCAGGAAAACCTCTGCTCTAGAAAGGTCACTCTTTAAAGTTACCGGTGACCCCTATGTCTCCACATTCAATGGTCACTTCCGAGGACTCTACTGGCCAACCTCTGCACACCTCCGGCCACGCCCTCCTTTCTAAAATCTCCCACCCTTCCAATCACCAGACTCCCATGGGTTTCCGTCTCAGTTGCTGGACACTTGTCCCGTCTTCTCTCCTGCCCCTTCAAGGCCTCTTCCCTACCTTTGAAAATGCAAAATAGGAGTTCTCCATCTGCCTGCCAGCCCTAGCCACTCATCTTCCCCTGTGGACTTAAAGGCTATAGGCTGCTCCCTCCGAAGTCCCCATCCCAGGGGCACCCTTCCTGGGGCGAAGGATCATCTTAAATGCGCCCAGTCTCTGCCAGAGCCCTCTGATTTCCACATGCTTGGCCCATGTCAATGAGCAGCATCCTGAGCCTTTTTTCTTACACCCGCCACTAATCCATCAATATAAATTCCAGTTCCGACCACTCCTCACAAATTCCACTGCTATCACTTTACATGCCCGCGTGGATTAATACAACAGCCTCTTAGTCGCTTTCAATGCTACTGCTCTCGGCCCCAGGAGGCGGGGGCAGGGGAGGGAACCCTCACCTCCCAGTAGCCACAACCTGCCAAATTGTAACTCAGATCACATCACTCCCACAGCTTTCTGTCCACTGCTCTCCACGCTCCATAAAATCTAAACTCCTATGACCGGCCTCCTGTCTCTCTTCAACCTCCGAGCCTACTGCTCTCTGCCTCGCTGACTCTGTTCCAGGGTCGCCACCCTGCTGTTCCACACACAGTGCAAACCTGCCTCAGGACCTCGTACTTCTTCCTTCTGACTAGATCACAACCCCATGAAGTTTGCCCAGCTCATTCTCCTATTTTATTCAGGCCTCCCTACCAAGTGCCACCTCCACAGCGAGCTTCCCTGGCCACTGGTCACTCTCTCTGCCTGACCCTACTTGACTTTTCTTCACAGCATTTTCAGAATATGTGTTTGTCTATCCATTCCCTTGTCAGTTCCTGCACCACAGGGGGGCTTGGTCTAGACCACCCTTGTCCACCACACTTAGACCAGTTCCTGGGGAAGAGCAGGAGCTCAATCAACATCACTGCATGAAGGGATTCACTCACTTCTTAAGACAAGAAAGGGCGATAAACAGCGAGTTGCTTCAAGAAACTATTTGTCATATTCCTAGGGGATCTGGACAAAATTCCAAAACTACTAGACTCCAAGAATAAATGAGCCCAGGTGTTCCGGACGAAATCTTATTTACCCCATGTTTTCCCAGGGTGAGATAATGCTCGTAAGCTCTCAAAACATGAGCCCATTTTTTCTGGGCATCTTTCTCTGTATTACTAAGATCCACTTTAATCATTAGACTTCTCTTTTAGTCTGTCAAGAAATTTTTGAGCTTAATGGAGGCAATAAAGAAAGAAGCAGCACAGAACATAAGGAATGTTAGTAAAAGCTGAGTCCATCCCAAGCAGAAAGGCAAAGCTCGGAGGACGGACTCAGCTCACAGGCAGCACTGAACAGCGCCTTCCCCCAAAAGGGAGGTGCAGAGCTAACCCCTGGGCCAGCAGCAAAGTGGTAAGGGATCCCCTCTGGAGCCTGAGTTTCCACCTCTCTAGAGATGAGCTGGGCATTTCTGTGACCCATGTTAACTTTCTTAGGCCCTGTGGGCAGGGAGAAGGGGAAGATTCTAAAACCACGGTAGTGATGTATTAGCCTGTGTAAGTTTAAAAGATGGCTCAAATTTGAGTTATTTCAAATATCTAGAGTTTTACTCTTTTCTAATATGTGAGTGAAGTCACCAAGCATAAAGGCAGGTCGAGCATGTCCAGTACACAAAAGGGAGGAGGCGCTGTGAAGCCCCCACTCATCCCACGGCAGGATTATAACTGTCTCCCATGTTTTTTAGGATTGTAGACTAACTTGTGATTTCCCTGGATTGATTGATTGATTGATTGATTTTTGGTCCTTCAATCACAAAAGAGTTGAGCATGAATAATTTCATGTATGAAACAGCTACTCTATTTTCCACTGAAGCATAATCAACGACTATAAAGGCTTCTCCATTTGTAAAAATCTACCCCCCCAAATTAGTTCAGTTAACTAATCTTAACTCACACATCTTACATGGGTTCCAGTTTTTTATCATTTACTTATTCCAATTTCTCTTTGAGATTTCCATCACTAGTAGATGCTCAGCTTTGGCTGGCAATTTTACTTAACACAGTTCAGATTCACAGATGACAGTGTCTGTCCTCACACAGAGGTGACTTGATACTTACTTACACCCAGCGAGCCACCAGAACCCTCTGCTGACAGCAACGTCCGGCGTCACCTGGACGGCCGCACTCCTTACCTCTCTGGGCTTGCTGGCGATGGCGACGCTGCCGTCCTTGTTGTACTTGATCGGTGCCCCTCCTTCCTGCACCAGGGTCCCATAGCCTGTGCTCGTGTAAAAGGCAGGCACCCCGGCCCCGCCGGCCCGGATCCTCTCTGCGAGTGTGCCCTGCAGGAGAGCAAGCAACCCCGTGGAAGGACACAGAAGAAGCATGCCGTCAGACGCCGGGTCTGCCCTCCAGACATTTATAGTGTCCTCACTATAAATGGGCACGTTTCCCTCACAGCTGTGTGCCAGAGACTAATTTAAATCACTCACGGCCCCTCTGGACAACAGCCTCTCCATTCTGAACCCACAAAGGGTAACTGCTTATTTGCATAATGGTACTTTCGGCTTCCACATCTTCTGCTGGCTTCTTGACATGCGTCTGTAATATTTTTAAATGAATTTTCACATCTGAAGTATGCAACTTCAACTATATACACTCAAAAACGTAAAATTACATTTTGTGTTTTACTGTGTGTTATATGTAGGTACGGCCTGAACCTTATCATTAGTGAGAATAACTGGTTTTTCTAGAATAACAACATAAAGCATTCAATTTTCTTTAGAATTTATTCTAAACCATTCTCGTATTTTATCTATAATATTATCTGAGAAAAATCGAAAGTTAAGCAAACAATACAACATACAGGCAGAAGCCAAGACTACTTCAAATTTTGTTCAGAGAAGGAACAGCTGCAGGCAAAGTTCCTTTGCACTTTCTGCTGATCCTTTTCACCTCCCCAGGAACGAGACATTTCAAGCCTAACCTTCCTAACTCCGCGACCCCCAACTGCCTTTGCACCCAGTGAGCCCACAGGGAATAAACTTGGGCCCTGAACGTTCCCCAACACCCTCCCTACCCCACAAACTGCTGCTACGCTCCAGCTACCTCAAGGTCGAACTACAGAACTAAATGGCTGATTAGTAGTAAGAACTAGGTTAGGCATTAACGACAAGGTGTTAATATTGTTCCAACCTGAGAACAATTTTGTACATTAACTGGGGCCTTTAAATACTAAACTCAGAGAAGGGAGACTAATGGTTAGGATTTCAAATCCTGAGTCACTCAAGCATGTGGGTTATTCTGGGGAAGAAGGGCCTCGTGGCTTAGCTGAAAATCTTGCAGGTAACTACTCTACCTCTCCATCCAGTGGAACGAGGTGACTCCACTTTGTGCTCTGGGTATTTTAAGTTAACAGCAATCACGAAAGTTCAATCCTCAAACAATCTTAATACCACCTCTAGTTTAAAATGGTTGTTTTACGTCCACCCACCCTGAACCACTCGACTCCTCCTCTGTGTCCAGCTGGGCAAGGGCTGAACACGCGGCATTTCTGCTGAAAGGGCCCGTGCGGGCACCCAAGGCCTGCCCCGCCATGCCCCAGAGGGAGTCCTGAGCCCCGGCGCTTCAGCAGCACGTCTCCCTGGCTCTCAGGCCACAAAACAAGTCGCCAGAGCCAATGTTTGTTTATGTGCCACTGAACTCGGGAGGGAGACCCCAGCCTCTTCAGCTTAAAGGAAGACTGTGAACGAAGCATTGAGGAAGTGCCTCTCCCACATGCAGGACCTCTGACAAAATCAGGAGGAACACAAAAGGCAGACAAGGTTTATTTTCAACGGCTCCGAAAAAGGAAGGATAAGGTATCCCAACCTAGAATGTGAACAAGGAAAGTATACGCTATGCACTGAATTATGTCCCCCCCAAATTATTAAAGCCCGAACCCCCAATTAATGACGGTATTTGGAGATAAGGCCTATACGGAAGTCATTAAGGTTAAATGGTACCATAACAGTAGGTCCCTGATCCAACAGGATTAGGGTTCTTGAAAGAAGAGACCCCAGAGTGCTCCCTGGCACAGCCCCCCAGCCTACCTCTCTCTCTGCATACCCTCGCTCCCTCTACGGCCCCCCACCAAGAGCCGAACCAGCTGACACCTTCCCAGCAGGACAATGAGAAACAAATTCCTACTGTTTAATCCACCAGTCTGTGGTATTTTATCAGTGTCACAAGCAGGCTAAAACAATCTATCTTTTGTTAATTTAAAAAAGAAATTGCTTCAAATGAAAACAGGCTAAATACCAAGCTCAGTGCAGAGATACGAGAGGCACAGGTGCCAATACCGCACCGCGGCCGTGTGTGACCACAAGGGACACTGGGAAGCCTCAGGGACAAGAAACAGTCCCCTCACGCACGCTCTCTCTAGACAAGCATGTAATACGATGGAATTACAGAAATCTTTTTATAAAATCCTGCTACATTCCATTATCACTAGTTTGATGAAGTTGGGGTGATAATATTTTCTGTTGACAAGACGAAAGGGGAGCGGCAGGCTCGGTTTCGGGGCCTACGTCAAAAAGGAAGACCGACACACGCAGCCTGCAGACCCTATCGGCATAAATGCCTTCGGAAGGCTTGCCCACCTCTGCTGCAGACTCCTCAGTGATCTGAAAGACAGGCGCAGAATACGCGCAGGAAACCAGGAGGGGAGACTTGCAAGATTAACGCCGGTAACTGCCTGCTTTGTGAGGACGTTTCCCTGGAGACCGAGCCCAGATCCCAGCACTTGCTCTGATATAGTCAGTTTTACACTCAAGGACTTTACTCTCCTGATATATCTCCACAAGACCAGATTCCACACAAATTACTCATCCCATGGTTCCTATGCTTGACTTTGAGGATAATCCTCAAACATTTCAGCAAGTCCTTTTGCAGGCTTCCAGCACAATTTACGTTAAAATATAATTTACATTATACTTTAAAATGTATCCTGTAGCCTAGATATTTTTATTAGAAATACCTCCTTTTTCTGTTGCATAGCAACAGAAAATATTAGACTCCAGTAATCGACAGGTGTGACCTACAAAACAGCATTCTCTCCGCTTTACCTGTCTCGCACAAAGACATTTTAAGGGGGAAGAAATTGTAAAATAGGTGAGCATTGTAAGAGAAAAGCAGAGAACTTTCTTACCTGAGGTGTCAGCTCTACTTCCAATTCACCAGATAAGTACTGTCGTTCAAATTCTGCATTTTCTCCCACGTACGAGGAGACCATGCGTTTTATCTGCTTGGACTGAAGTAAAAGGCCCAGGCCGAAGTTGTCAACCCTGGAGGGAAATGGAAGCAGCTTTCAGTCACAGGAACGTCTGACAGAACACTGATACCGCCGACATTCAAAACCACAAAATGGGGTTAATTTAGAGGAATCTAAAGGAATCCCATCTACGAGGCATTTCACCCACATTCTCTCACGGCCCCCACCACCCCAAGGGCCCTGCAAGGCGACTATTCTTACTTTACAGTCGAGGAAACTGAACTTCAAAATATTTAAGTGACTCTTTTCCCCAATACCTTGGGAAGTGACAGAGCCAGTACTCAAACCCGCGCGCGTCCTGCGGTTCTACCCGCCCCTTTCATTCGTCCCCCTGCTCCAGGGGGGCCCGGGTTAGAAGATGAGCAAAGAGACAGACAGGTCTGGCCCTGGGCCGCAGAGGGACGTAAGTGCAAAGGCAATGCCTCGGTCCCACCCCGCACGGACCCCAAAGGAAGGTTTGCCGGGAGAATCCCTGTCTGTCCAAGAAGGGGGTCAGGAGCATTCTCCTATTTAAAAGACAAAATGGCAGACTCTTGAAATAAGGACCTAATTATGAATAACTAGGGCCATTTTCCCTGTATGATAGATACTTGACTCATGAAGACTGAAACACTTAAACATTTTTAACAAAATAAAAAATTAGGAAATTAATCATAAACCAGCAAAAAGATATAGATGGCAAGAATAACACTGTATATGTTAAGTTACATATAATATGGTTTGGTATCTCTGCTAATAGGGACATTTAAGCTATTCTTTCAAACGGTGCTGGTAGTGTCAGCTTTTTTCATTAAGTGATGGATCTTTAAATTTGCGCCTTTCTTTTCAAAGCAAAATATACCTAAAATTTCAAGCAAAGTCAATGTGATACGACAGATGGACGACTGAATGAGTACTTTTCCATTTCTAGTCGTCTTATCCATCTCTAGCACTCAAGAGTCTCAAAAATACTTTAACCAACTGAAGAAAGCATTTCTAAGGTACTCAACAACACTTGAACTTAAGCTCTAAAACTACTGACTATTTTTAAAAGAAAAACAGTGAGAACCACAGCGAGACATCACTACAACCACAAACAAAATGGCTAAATAAAAAAGAAGGCAATACCAAGTGTTGGCAGGGATGTAGAACAACCAGAACTCTCATACACACTGAGGGGAATGTAAATTGATACAACCACTTTGGGCAAACTACTAGTAGTAGTTTTGTGCGTGTCATATGCTATGAGTCAATGATTCCACTTGCACCATTGCTGGGTATTGATTTGTACCCAACAGAACACATACTTACGTTCCACAAAAGACACACACAGGAACATTCACAGTAGCACTACTCATTATGGCCCCCAGACTGAAGCCTCCCAAATGCCCATCAACAGCAGGATGGATAAATACATAGTGGTGTGTCCACAAAATGCAATATTATACAGCAATGAGAATGAATGATCTACAACCCCTAGCAACAATAGAGGGCTGGTGCTGACAGACAAAACGTTGAGTGAAAGAAACACAGCAGAGTACATGCTGAATTATTCCTTGTATATGAAGTTCAAAGTCGGACAAAACTGATGGGTAAGATCAGAGGCAAGGATCACAGTTAACCCTGGTCGTGGAGAGGAGAATACTGGCTGGAAGGGGCCCTTTGGGGGTACAGGCCTCTTCTTTACTCCATTTCTTTATCTGGGAGATGGTTACATGGGTGGGCAGCCTGTAAAAAACCATCAGGTGTATACCTATGATATATCCACTTTTCTGGTGCTCTACGTTCCCGTAAAGTTTTGGAAAGATAGAAATGTAGAGATAAAGGCCAGAGTACCTCCTAGAAACACAGTCTTCATTTGTGAACTCTCCCTCCTAATTCCTTGAGTGTCCTGACGGCTCCTCCCCCGTGAAGTCTGTGTCATCTACACGGTCCACTCATCCTACAGTCGTATACAGAGTTCTTACTGCACCCCAGGGCGGGTAGGTCAGGCCCTGGGCCGTGGGCAGCTCTGAGCTTCTCAAAGAAAAGACAGGCTAACCTGTCCTTGCAACAGAGGGCGTGCGTGCTGAGAGGAGTCTGCACGAGGTGCGACGCGAAGGCAGGAGCTGGAGAGGCCGACGGTGTCACGAGGGTGACACCAACGACTCGTAGGAAAACAGTCTCTGAGAGCAGAGCAGAGGGTGTGGAGGGCGTGAGGGAAAGAGGCGGAGGGGCAGCTTTGAAGACGTGTGCGACGGCGTGACAGGTGGGCCGGCTGTGCCCCTGCCTGAAGCCACACCAAGCCCTTCGCGGCGAAGGATGGGGGAGACCCTGTGAATAACTGTAAGCAGAAAATCACGGGGTGTACAATTCCCTGGAGAGGCCCAGAGAGGAAAGGCAAGAAAACGAGGTAAGAGGCTTGACTGACATGGTCCGAAAGAGCAACGCGGAGGCTCTGAACTACGGCAGCCGCAATGGGAAGGGAGCAGAAGGGACAACGTGGGTGAAATCACTGCTAGGACTTGTTGTCCCCCTGCTGCAGGTGAAGAGCCATTCCAGAATTCTGGCTTTGGCATGGAAAACGGTGGAAGAATATAAGCTTAACGATCGCTAGTGACAGCCACGTGCTCGACTGGCACGGCGGCAAGGACGCAGCCCGGTACGACAGCCCACGATGGTTCTCCCGACCACCTTTTCTCCCACCTTCACGCCACGCTGCACCCTCGCACACCTCACACGCACCCCCCACACAAGCGGCCATTCCCGTTCCGCTGGCCCTTTCCCGGCTCTCAGAGCGCGTCGCTAATAAGCCCCGGCCTCCCGCGGCGGTCCTGCCACCTGGACGCTTCCAAGCAATCCCCGAACAGGTAGCCGTCAACCTTCTTCTAGACTTGTCTCATACTCCTAGCCTCCCAATACTGAATCTAGGGGCCTCCCCACCCCCACCCTGTGGGTAGAAAAGGGAGCCACGTGACTTACGCTCACTTGTTTCAAAAGAAAACTAGAGCCTAAACAAGTATTTTCAAGCGTACCGTTTGCCGTATGGGCGAATTCCCTGGAGATTAATAATACAGTTGTCCATTAGAGGGCTCCAAACCCTGAAGATTCTCTGTGTCTCCTGAAAACTTAGTTCCTCCCTGCACTTCCAAACACAGCGTGCCTGTTTCTGAATAGTTTTCACCACCTCGTAGTGAACACCTAAGTAGGCCCTCGGTTCTCCGGGTTAACGATCCTGTTTCCTTAAATTCAGCTCCACCTGCAGCCTGCACCCTCTCACCTGATGGCAGCCCCATCCTTAGGGACCTTCAGCCCAAAACCAAGGGGGAGATCTTGGACCTCTCTTTCAAAATCTACCCAGAACCCGAGCCTTTCTCTCCCCATCCTCTGCGCCCTTCACCATCTCTTACCTCAAAGCCGCGGTAACCTTCTCAGCTGCTACCCCTGGCCCTTATGACCTACTCACAAAATGACAGCCCAAACTACGGGCGCGAAAGATAAAACGCTCTGCTCCAACCTGCAGCGGTATCCACGCACGCCTGGTGGAAACACAGTCTCCGGGTGGCCCACAGGCCCCGCGTGATGGGAAGCCTGGTCAGGCCTCCTACCCCACTCCTCCCACTTCCTTTCGCTCCACCTCTGCTGGCCTCCTGCAAAGCGGGCATCAAGGGTAAGTGGTGACGGAAGGAGGCTTGCCTTGGGGTGCAGTGCACACAATACAGTGCACAGATGATGCCTTATAGGATTGCACCCCTGAAACTGAGATGATTTTATTAACCAATGTCACCCCCATAAATTCAATGTAAAGAAAGAATCGTGTTAAAAATACAAGGCACCAGGCATCCTGACTTGACGCTGGCCTTCCCGTGTCTCCAAGCTCTTCCCTGAGACCTCTGCATGGCTCACCCCCGGGCATCCGGCAAGTCTCTGGACAGCCGTCTTCCGCGAGTCCCGCCTTGCTCGCCCCCGCTGGCACGTACCAAAGCTGCCCCTCCACCTTCATGCTCCCACCTGCCTTTGCTCCAGTTCTTTTCTGCGTGGCACTGTAACCTGCTATCATACTGCAAGTTTACTCGTTTTGTTACGTTGACTACTTACTGTCCGCCTCTCCCCATTGGGATGTAAGGCCCACAAAGGCAGAGCACTTGCCCTGTTCTGCCCACTGTTGTACCCCCGCCCCCAGCACCTGAAAGCACAGACAACGCAGAGAGGGCGCGAGACAGACACGCATTAGCATAGGACAAAGGAATTCACTGCTCGATTTCAGTTCCCCCTCCTCGTTGGCTCCTCTCTAGTAAGAATGAAAATCGTCGAGTCTTAATGTGGGACATTCTCTCTTTGCCCCTGCCCTCCCCACCCCTGCATCCATCCAGCCTGCCCCACGCCCAGGACAGCGGACCCACGTGGACTGAAGCACGTGCTCCCTCGCCCTGTGGCTTTGGGCTGGAGTCAGCCAGTGGGAGGCAGCCCAGGAGGCTCGGGGGTGAGAGCAGTACCAGGATGTACACTGCACTCCTGGCTCGCTTCCTGGCAAGCCGTAGCGCCCCGGACGGGCTCCTCTCCAAGGCCATCTTCCGGGTGCTGACAGTTCCCCTCGTCATTCCACCAGGCTTAGGGCTGTGGGCCTGTCCCTAGCTCCGGGGGCCAGTACTCACGCTGCTTTCCCCGAGTCCTGGCCATTCCTTCAGGGAGCCCCTTCGGTAAGCTTCCCTCAATGACCCAGTAGGAAAGTACCAGTATAGCCTCTGGAGTCCTTCAAATTACATCCTAACAGTACGGTCCCTCTGCTTTCTGTGGTGGTAAACATCTGAAACTCCCTCCACGCACTCAGCCCCATACCATTTGTTGACCTGGGATGTTTTCTAACCACCTTTTCATGGGTCTCTGTTTGGCTTTTCAACCTATTACACACTTGAACTTGGCTCTGTTTGGAGAGGGCCTCTCTGTATTTGTTGATCTTGGCTCTGGAAATGAAGTGTATTTATTTTGAGTGTTTTTTTTCTTCTTCTTTCTTTACTTTGTTTCTGGACTAGAACCTGGCATGCCAACCAAGCAATGCATAAGACGCCCTGCCCCGGCCACACCCGGGCCGGTAGACAGTTAGTGTGCAGGCCTCAGAGATGCTGGGAGGCAGCTAATACAAGTGTCTTTCTTGCCTACAATGATACAAAAATGGAAAGGCAAGGTCTTTACAATATAAAAGAGAAGAAAGACATACGTGATCTTTTGCAAATAAGGCCATAATAATTTTCATAGAGAAACATATATTGACACATTTCGCAGCTTTGATAGCAAAGCTAATTCTGATGAGTTTTCAAAGGGATTACCTTGTTTGCCATCAATACCCAACATTCTTCTAGGATACCTACCAAGAAGAAAATTTAACCTTTTTCCTGTAGCACAACAAACTTGGGTTTCAAACATTTTAGTGGTCACAGAAATCTAAAGCCAAGAATTAAGTAAAGAGATACATTAATGTAAGGCAAAAAATATTTCATGGAAGATATCAATGTTCTGCAAGTATTTATGAAATCATTTTCATATTCTGAAATCTCATTAATTGGCTAATGTAGCCAAAATTCATCTAACAAGAATAAAGTTGCAACCATATATCAAACTGTATTCCTTACTCTTATTTTAGACATACTTAAATATCAATTATACAACTTATATTTACTCTGATCATGTTAAGAGTATTAAAAGAAAAAAGTGCTGTCTTTAGACAGAAGGTTAATTTATGACATAGTTATATGGGAAAACTGAAATCTTCTATAAGCTGAGCAAATTCAAGTGCATACTCCAGGAAGTGGTAGCCCTTCCCAGATAAAATAGCCAAATCTCGGGAGATGCTCCCAGTCAGCCAAGGTGGCCTCGATCTCTCCGCTGAGCCCTTCGGAGGTGCAGTCACCTAGACAAAGAAGCAACAGGAACAGCGAAGGAGCCACCGGTCTTCATCTCCTGCTTCAAAATCATTGGTGCAGGACCAGAAATGTTATTTTGAGTGGGTCCTTACAGAATTCTTGTACCTGATTAGGACAGTACTATACACAGGTAACAACAGTACTGTAATCACAAGCACAGGTACATACCAGGTCTGTCTGGAAAAATGGGGGTTTGCATGACACCGACATAACCTGGCAGCCAAGGAGAGGGGACTGGAATGCACATGTGTGAACAGTGACAACTCCACCGTACTAGTCAGCAGGGGAAGTAGGCACTGTTAGGTGAACTTGTGTACTGTGTGGCCATTGCATTCAAAAAGACTAAGTGAGTAGAGCAACAAATCTGCATCAGATTTTGCATTAAGCTTGAACGTTCCTCCGTGGAAACTACTTGGATGATTCAGAAGGCCTCAGCTCTGGGCAACTGGTGATGTGCTAATATACAGTTTGTTGTGAGATTTGGTTCATACATATAATTCATATGTTAAGGTCTTCCAAAAATCAATGAAAGGCACATTGTCAGTTTTTCCCATCTTCCTAATCAATCCACATCAAAGTACTGATTCATCTGAGTGATCCTGGGGAGGGCCTCTCTGATCTGGACTAATAGATACTATTCCACACCAAGCCAGTGGTTCCTCAGGGCAACCGGTCTTCCTGATTATTAAAAACAGAACAACGAAAGAAAACAATCTGGAATCCTGAGCTTTGTAAAGACGTCCAATTCAGGCAGATCTTTCCATAAAAAGAGACTTTTCTGATGAAAAAATAATTATTACTTCTAAATCCAAGTTCTCTCCATTCACCAAACATTTCAAACCATGGCATTAGCTCTCCAGTGAAGCAATGCTAAGCCTTCCTCATTTATCTGACTCAAATAACCCCTCCTGTAGACCTGTAGGAGTTAACCCCCTAATACAGCGAATCCGCTGCCCATGCAGGTGTGCCTAGCGCCTTCTCTGTGATTCATGAAGTGCAAGAGGTTATTGGTACCCACTCTGCATGAAGAATTTGTATATTACACCATCCCTTGTAAGCACTGCGCTATCTGGAAGACCCAACAAAGTGCCGATCCTCAAAAGTATTTTTAATAAATATAAAGTCAGATCAAAGGGCACTGGCTGTGATTAAGAAATATCAAGTGGCCATGAATAAGTTACATCTCTATGTACAGACGAGTTTCCTCTGTGAAATGAGGGGGAACAGCTGAGGGCTGCAGTCCCGTCCAGCTCTAGCGTGCAGTGGTTCTGAGACTGACGGGCTAACAAGCAGGGAGCAGAAAACAACTAAGTACCAGGAGCAGCCGGTAACATGTAGCAGAGAAAATAAATACAAGTCAGGATACACAGAAAGGCTGAAAGTCTCCAACGCTATTCAGAAAGGGGCAAGATCCATGAAGGCTTCAAAGAGTCTATACTTTTAGGATAAGGCTTCTTTAAAGATATGTACCTTGAGAGGTATTCTGAAAAATGGGAAAGATGGGGGTACAAAGAGAAGAGAACCTTCCAGATAAAAAGAGTGGCATACATATATCCAGGAAAGGAAAAATGAGCAAAAATGTAGGACCAATTTTGTATCCTAGATAACCTGTGCTATTTATTCTAAGTTGTATTTTTGTCAATAGGCTAAACTGCCAATTTAGTTAATATTTAAAATAATTTTAACATCTTTAGTCTTTCATTATTGACAGAGCTGATGACTTGTCATTGTGTATAAAAATGGCTTTTCCTCCCTAACTCAGCATATATTAATGTGTACGTCATTCACTATTAAAATGTTATGGTTTATTGTTGACAGTTTTGATGCGGTCTTCTGTCTTAAGTGCTGGCTGCCTAGTCTCCTCCTTCTACCAAGACCAGCAGCCTTTTTAGTGATGAGTGGTGTTCCTTACATACCGTCCAGGGTGATGGCATAATCTCAAGAAAGACTTAAAACAGATATCAAGTTGATATCCACCTTAAAGGAACGTCTCTAAATTTTTAAATGCAGGATTCAATTTGAAATATAGATATTTTAACTTTAACAATATATTTGAAATTAAAATAACAGCACATCAGTCTAAGATATAAAATTATGCAAGTCTCCTTTATTTACGATTATGAAGTATGGTAACAAAAGTATCTGAATAAGTTGTAACCGCCACACCTGAGCTTGTTAACGAGCACATTGCTCATGAAAACAGGGATTTAATTGATAGACTTTGTTTCAATATTATGGAGAATTCTCATTTCTTTCAAATCACGTGTGTTGACAGGCACTTACCCTGCGTTATTGCTGACCGCTGTGAGCCCTTTGACCCCGGTCTTGAGTAAAGCTCCAATAAGATTCTCTGGAATTCCACATAACCCGAAACCTAAGTAAGCCAAAAAACAAACAGTATGTGAAGAGAGTAATATTGTTTCAGGGAAATGTGTGTGTTATTCTGTTTTAGTAAAAAAAGAAAATGTATAAAGCACATTATTAGCACTGCACTATCTGGAAGACCCTACTACTAAGTAAAATAGCTCAGATAGAGCTCAGCAACTCAATAAATGGTCATAAAGCTGTATCCAAATGTTTGGCACCGATAGGTAGCACCAGACACCACTCTCAAGTCCCTGATTCATAAGGATAAAGCCAAGTGCAGTGTGTTACTATGGCTACACATCAATTACTGTCCCACTTTATATTTAATGCCAATACAGTCACCTTTTCAAGCCTATTTGTTTTATATGCCTCAGTATATTTTGCAGAATTGGAAGCCTAGGCTAATGACGTTCATTTCTCTACATTTTCTACAATTCCTCAAATGGCACTGGGTTTAAAGTGGACACTCAATGACTGATCAAAGGGAGGATTTTGAGGTTGGGCAGCCCTCAAAATAAACTTTGATTCCTGTGGCCAAAACCCATGAACCCAAAGAAATTCATAAGAGTCAGGCAGCACGTTTCATGAGACAGTGGTTCTAAATGACATTCCAAACAAAAGAAGCACTTGAACTTGGGAGGCTCAGTAACGGTGAGCCACTTAGGGTTCCCTCACTCGTAAAACAGGACAGAACAAAAGCAGTGGCCAGGTGTGGGCCGATGAGATCAACGCAAAGGTCTCAAGTAAAATGGAATTTCCGAAAACTACCGCTTTTTTTAAAGCTACCAGTAAGATATCACCACGGGAAGCTTCAGGTTTTCAAAATAATTTTTTAAAAAAACACACAAAATGAATGAGAGAGTAAAAATATAAAGTTCTAAACTTTGCTAAAGTTTCAGGAAGGAGGCGTTAATAAAAATAATAGATAATACAATAGGTAATAAGTAGATCAGATAAGATAACGCATAAATAATAACTAAGTAGTAACTGGCATTTCTTTTAATTTTTTATTGTATTTTTCCCATTATCATTTAGTCCCATTATACCTCCTCCCCGCACCAGCACCACCCGCTTGTTGTCCGTGTCCGTGAGCCCTTTTCCCATTTTGCTCCGTCCCTCCAGCCCCCAGCCTCCCCCGCCCTTAGCTGTCATTTGCTCTCCATCTATGAGTCTGTCTCTGTTTTGCTTGTTAGCTCCGTGTGGTCATTAGATTCCACAGAACGGATGAAATCACATGGTACTTGTCTTACCCTGACGGCATTCCTAATCTGCATAGCTTTGCTACTGTGCTTTCCCTGCTTTGCTAAAAACATAAGGGGATGCCCTTAAAACAAGAAAACGACGCTATTACTCACCACCAACCAGGATCTTGGCACCATCAGGGATGTCTTTCACAGCTTCCACTGGATCCTTGTAAAATTTGGTGTGGTGACGCGAGCTGGTAGAAAAGTAGCCAACCCATCCCTGAAACATTAAAAAACAACTTTTAGTGAATTATCATGTGGGAGATACATCTTTACTTTACATGTATAGCAGTTTATTCAATTTTTATTCAAAGAGGACAATTCCACTATGTCCTCTTTGAAAAGAGCAGGGCTGGAAGTAGTTCGCCTTAAGAGTGGAATGGACATACTCTATCTACAGATTAGCACTGGAATCCCTTGTGATCTATGCCTTCTCTTATACAAGGGAAAATTCTGTGCTATTTGTGGCCACCCAGAAGTGGCCACCCACATGCTAGCACTCAAATTCCCAATAATGGCACCATCAAGCTCTGGGTGGGTGGCTCAGCGGGATGGAGCATCATCCCAGGCACCAAAAGGTTGCGGATTCAATCCCCAGTTGGGGCATGTACAGAGGCAACCAATCAATCTTTCTTTCTCTTTCTCTCTCCCTCCCTAACTAAAAAAAAAAAAAAACAACAACAAACAAAAAAATCAATGAAACATATACACACATCCTCAGGTGATGATTCAAAAAGTAAATAATGGCAACAACAAGCATCGATTTCTGACAGTAACCTAACCTTCCATGTTAGCAGCAAATACTGAGAACCTATTACATGACAACTACTTTGTTATTTACTCCAGTCTAATAAATATTAAATCAAGATTTCTTCTCTCAGGTACAGCATGACCAGTACAAATACCACATAATCAGGCCCAGCGCAGCCTGGGGTAAGATAATGTCTCCTAAAAGGACAAGTGAAGAACAGTACACAAAATCACTCATCTCTCTGCCAGGCTTAGAGTTTACCCGAGCTGCTGAAAAGCAGCACACTACGGGGTTGGCCAAAAAGCCCATTTAGCTTTTTCCATAAAATAAGACACACCTTTCATTTTCACCAATAACCGTATTATTTAAGATATTTTGAGTATGTTGGCTATCTCCCACATGGTATAATGTTGATTGTTCTCAATTAATGAATCGATTTGATCACTATCAACTTCAACTGGTCTGCCCAACCGTGGAGCATCGTTCAGTGAGAGATCTCCAGCACGAAACTTCGCAAACCACTTTTGACATGTTCAATCAGTCACAGCACCTTCTCCATGCACTGCACAAATCTTCTTTTGTGTTTCAGTTGCATTTTTACATTTCTTGAAATGATAAAGCATAACATGCCAAAAATGTTGCTTATTTTCTTCCATCTCCAATATTAAAATGACTATACAAAAATTCACCAATTTTGACGTTTTCTTTAAATGCATGCTGACATGACAGCTGTCACAACACAATCTAAAAAGTTATTTCAAATGAAGTTCAAGACAACTAAGTGCTAGGAGGGCCATCTTACAGGAAAAACCAAGCAAACCCAATATTAGCCGCAAAGGATCAATGGCTAGAATTACTGTTACCTAGAGAGCGTTCATAATGAGTTTTAAACTGTTTCGATCTTTATACTTCAACCACAACACGGACAGGGAAAATTAGAAAGTCATTACGTTGTAAGCAATCATTCCTTCTCAGTCTCTCTTATTAGATATATATGAAATCTCCCCTTTATTCTTCTCATATATTCAACCTAAAAAGAGGGAGTAGAGCGAAGGATGCCTGACTCCTGATATGCTGCCCCAAAGCAAGTCTGCTGCCCATCAGCCTCCCAGGCAGGCACCCTGTCGGGGTCAAGGTAATGGCATAAAAGCATGTCTATCATTCTTTTCTTCCTCTAAGAACTCCATGTAGAAAAAGAGTCAATTAGTACAAAAGCCTATCTAAGGGCACTATACTGAAAGTCAATGAGACTGGCAGAGGTAGAGGTTACACAGATGACTTTTGTCCCTTTAAATTTCAACCTTGGTCAAGGACAGGTAAGGAAGGCGGTAGACCTGGCGCACTGCCCAAACACGGGGAAATCAGTGGAAACGGAGAAAGGAAAGGGCTTTCTTTTATCTTCAAGGAGCAAGGATTTATTTGATTCTGTTTTAAATACACACATATACACAAAGATATTTTTAATCTTGGAAATTAAAAGTTTGGAGCCTGGATAAATAGGTCAACAGAGAGTAAAATAAAGTTGAAAATATCATCTAGAAACAAGAGAAGAGAAAAATACATAAATATCAAAAAAAGAAAGAAAAATACTGATATCTAGTCCAACCAACTCATCTTACAGGCCACGTTTCTGAAGCTTAGAAAGATCTTGTAATTCACCCAACGGTTTTAGAGCAAGACCAGATCCCAGGTTTGCACCTTCTATCATGGGGTTCTTCTACCACAACATATGCCTTGTCATGTTTTTTTAAAAGCCCTCGATCTTCTTCTACTTCTATTTCCTTATTTATAGACAATGGATCTTTATGAGTGTCCTCTTTTCTCATTAAGAAGTCTGCTGTCAGTCTCCAGTGAAGGGCAAAGAGTCTTAGCAGCCCCGGAGGAAAGAAATGAAGGACTTCGTCTACACCTGAGTCTTCTGCGGGGTGACGTTGCCTGGAACTATTTATCCGCAGACTGAGAAACGTGTTTCTTGTAGAGAGGAAGTCAGAAGAAAACACACTTCCACAGACCCAGAGACCAAGTCGCGCAGCACAGGCGAGGCAGGGACTCCCTTCCTTTCTTTCAGTGGATAATCGATGCTTTCGTTACAATCAGAAATTACTGAGGTGCTTGCCCCCCAAAAAACGTACTTTGGAAATGTTTTAGAAAAGACCCAAGAGTTTCGCATTTACCCAGATAACCAAAAGTTTAAAAGCAATGAAGGTGGACTCACGTGTCCAGTGAATTTGAGAAGAACTGTCAGGATAATGAAGAATTTACAGACATTCAACTTTGGTTTTTTTCAGATTTAATACATTCAGTTGGCAGTACCTGTTGACATTATCTAGGCGTTATAATGACATTTGACATCTGTTGATTGAGAAACCAATAGCGCGGCATAATGGGCCACACTCCCCGCCTCTGAAGACAAGGCACATGTACTGCCAACACCTTCTAAGATTACGCAGCGAGGCGGGGGAGTATGTCTCTAATAATATCTACCTCCCTTTTTCCCTTAGATAACAGAATGCAAAGAGGAGCTCTAAACTGCTCTCAAATTGACCTCTACTCTCTAATATATTTTAAATACTAAAACAATGATATGAAAAGACCCAAGCACCATCTGCTAAATAAACAAGTAACCTTCAAGTTTCCCAGGTTACCTAAAAGAATGAAGAGAAATGAAATGTTCAGCTTTGACATCTATTTATTCTGGGAATAACTTTTTTTTTCCCACCAAGGTCATTCTTTACGTTCACATAATGTATTTCGTTTTGTTTTTCCACTCTCCTGCCTTCTGCAAATTTCCATTTCATTATTACCACTATTGCTACTATTACTATCAGGGGAGCAAAATAATAATGGTTCAGTATTGAAGAGTTAGAAATAATCAAAATCCTTAGAGTGCAGAATTTTTTTCTATTTAACCCATTTCTTTTAAAGTCATTTCCATAAGTTAAACTTTGTCTACAAATACCATCTACTTCAAATTCTTACACTTAACCTTTGAGGTTTGATTCCACTGCTGAGCCCAAATTTTATCACAAGACTTCCCGATCCAGAATCTCCTTCCACCCTAACCACTTCTACCATTATTTTTTGCACCTAAATTTCTCTTTTTCCTGTCATTCAATTCGCCAGAGCTTAATGAAAATGTACTTTGTCTTGAAGCTCTTTCAAGGAAAATTCAAAAAGCACACCGCTTTTTCATTTTTTAGTAAATTTTATCTTAATGATACGGAACTGTACACCCAGGCGATATTTACCTTGTCATTTTACAGTTAAATAAGTCAGGACATAGGAAGATTGATATGCCCTTTAAGTATCAAAAGTCTGATAAACAGAAGTGGGGAGGGGAGGCCATGTGGAAAGAGGTGAGGAACCCATGTTAGAAGGGACAGGCGGCAGGTACACACATTCACAGTCCTGCAAGAGCAGGCATGGTCAGTGCCAGCAGGAGGTGCTGATGTGCGCCAAAATGCTTTCACTGTGCAGGGGAGGTAAAATAATTTTCCTTCTACCCTTTGAAGTTCTTCTCACTGCTGCTCTGATTGTGACCTTGACATGAGACAGAATGACAGAAAAAAAAATGACCCAATGTATCATGTACTTACAGGGGTTCCCCAAGAATAGGGGACTCAAGGGAAAAATGGGCAGTTGAGGCTCACATGCTAACGTGCGCTAAAGAGAAGGGGTGTGTGTGTGTGGCAAGGGGGGGGCGGGGGGTGCTGTGGTTTGGGACTCAGAGGGAGGGAAGGCAACTGCTTCCTTTAAACAATGAGGCACGTAGAGGACCTGGACCAAGCTGGCCTGGCCGGGTTCCTGTCTGCCACACAGTAGGGCCATTACAGTCGCGTATGACAATGGTGCCTCCCTTCCTGGAGCAGGCCCTCTATCTAAATTCTTTCAGGCAGGGAGGGGGAAGGTCAAAGCTCTCTCCTGAGTCATTCCAGACTGAAAATACCAGACTGAAATAATGAATATCCCAAAAAGGCACCTTTGGGGCAGCAAACTGTCCTTCCCCTCAGCTGTGCGGCACGGAAGCAGCGTGCCCATGGTGAAATGTTCACGGTAAAAAAAGCACTACCAACGAGGCACTTACGACGTGAATAAATCACAAGGTGGTCCCAGGGAGTTACTGACACCAGGCAAGGCTCCCTAGCAGTGGCATACTTTGCTTTTGAGGGGACATCCCTCAAGGCTGGTGCAGGGCCCGGCAGACCCTCTGAAGGAGCACAGTTGGAGAGCTGCACTCTGCCTGGTGCATCAGAAGCCTGAGGGGCTGTCCTAGAGCAGAATCACTAATGAGATGGGGAATCCAGCAAGGGGCCGCTGCATGAGTGAGGGGACAGAGGGGTGGAAGGCTCGGCACGTTCAGGGACATTCAAGGCCAGGTCCCATGGAGAGAGGCTCAAGAACAGGCTGGAGAGGGAGACTGAGGCAGGCTGCGCAAGCCGTTAAAGTCCACATTAAGGAGTTTCAGCTTCATGTCTCAACGAGGCAGGAACAGGGACACTTTGGAAACGGACAGATGTCACAACTCTCACAGGAAAATCTACATCAAGAAAGTGGCAGAGGAACTCATTGTTTCATTCACCCATCCACTTATTCAAAATATCTATTTTTATCAAATATAGTAAATATTGGGGATAGCGCTAAAAAAGACAAAAACATACACACATAGTGCCTTTGCTGGTGAAACTTACAAGCTAGCAAGTCTAATAGTAAATAATTACAAAATTATTACATGTGGCACAAGTGATCAACTAGCAGTAGAGAAAGGAGAGAATACTTCCAAGCTTTCACACTGGGTGAATACTTGTCTGTTAACCACAGTGAAAACAAAACACGGGAAGGAAAAGCCATGTGATAGCTGGTGCTTCCTGAGTCAGAAAGAGCTTGAAGTGCTGACGGACATCGGACATCGCGGTGGAGTGGCCCAGCAAACTATACTCGAAGGACTGAAGCTCAGGGGTCTGGGCTTGGAGAAAGACCTGGGAAAAGAGAGTTCCGAGGAAGAGAAGTAGCTGAAGTGTTCACAGCAATTTTTTTCCAGTAACAATGTTCTATAATGAATGGAAAATAGTACTAAACGCTCCCTCGGAAATAGAAGTGGAGGCAGGAAGTTACCTTCTGACGGCCTTTCCTAATCTAAGTTCATGCCGGGGACTCTGAAAGCGCAGTCCCTAGACCAGCAGCCTGGGGACTTTATTAATGCAAACCAGGGGGCCCCACTCAGGAGCAACTAAACCAGAAGCTCTGGGAGTGGACTTTTTGATAAAGCCTCCAGGAACTCTGATGCACGCTCAAGTCCTGCCTACCATAAAAAACCCTATCTCGTTTTACCTGCTGCTTGTATTAGCAGGAAAATTCTCAAGGCTGCTACTTCAGTTCGTTCACAGGGTACCATCATGGATGGAGTAAACACGTCTTGAGTTTCCAGTCTATGCAGGGTAGTGTGCAATGTGGAGAAACATGCAGAATAAAGTATACAATCGTGTCTTTGCCAAAATGAAAGTTCCATCTGGTTTGCAACAGGATGTACACATAGGAAGTTAAACAAACACACAACTGTTACAATTTAACTGAAGAGGGAAGTAAAGATTTCACTAAGTGCCTAGCGCTGGAGGAACCCTGGAATGTGCCATATGATGAGCACACCTGAATGTGAGACTTTGAATGTGACAGAAACCTTCGATGACACGCAGCGAAACCCCTAATTTGTGGCTTAATGATACCCCTGACGGTGAGAAAATGAGGAAATCACACTTAGGTAACTGCCACAAAAGAGAATGATACTGACCTTGGCTTAAGGGTATGTCCACGTGGTGGTTTGCATTAGTGGCAGCAGCCGAAGCCACCTGTCGGTCAAGTTACCTTTTAAAAATGCTTTACATAGCCAAAGCTATCTGCAATGATCAAAATGCTTCCTAAGAAGCTCTTAGGAGTAAAATGTTCCAGATCGAAATCATCCCCTGGCACGTACCTAAGGGCCCCCCTCTTCCATCACTGTTCTCAGATCATTGGATTCGGGAAAGGGAGAAGAGCCATGGGGCGGGCCAGGAGTTCTTAGTTCCTAAGCACCCTGTGCAAGGCACGCTTTCAAGATCAGAACTATTATTCAAGGCGCTTTTAAGTAAAAACATCACTTTTCGTTTCCCTTCCTAGACTAGAAAGAGGCTTCCATGGTGAAAAGGTAGCGGAGGTAAGCCACCCTCCCAGGCCCAGCGCCCGGGTCAAGTTCTCGCCTCCGAGAACTCCGGAGAGAAACGCCACCTGAGTGGGGGCTTCTAGGCGGGGACAGAGGTTGCAGCAAAACCCCGCAACAACCGACAATCTCAGCGAGGGGGCGTCGGGCCACCACGAGGTCTTGAAGAGTAGGCGGTAACGGAGGAACCAGGACTACAAAGGGCTTTGGAGACGGAAATCCTCGATCAGGACCTCTTCGGGGAATCGGAAGAAGGGACGCTCGGCAGGGAAGACGCCCAGGCCGGAGCGCCAATCCGGGTTCCCCTTCCCACCGCGCGGGCGGCACAGCCAAATATGGGAGGAAGGAGGGCTTGGCAGTGGGCCCCCGCGGCGCGCAGCCACCGCCCCCGTGGCGGGGAAGTCGCGCCAAGCCTTGGCCAGGCCGGTCCTGAGCTCTGTACCCCGAGATCCCCAGAACCTGGCACAGACCTACCCGCTGCTGCCGGCACCCTTCCCCGCCGCGCTCCACGCCCACCGCCCCGGAGATGAGCGCCCGGCGCCCTCTCGTCCCTTCCCAGCCTCTCTCGCGCTTGTTGGTTGCGTGTCACCGCTTCAGCGAGCGGATGCAGAAGCGAGCCTCCGCAGTGATCCAAAAAGAGCAGCGAGGCGAGGAGAGCGCAACGGCGCCAGGATGCCACTCCCGGACCGGAGAGGGCGGGCGGCCGCAGAGAAGCAAACGCGGCAGCACTCAGGTCGTCCTCGCGCACGCTTTACCTTGGACCGGGGGTCCCGGAGGCCGCGCGCGGAGGCGCAGAGCCGTGGCCAGGAGCGGAGCATGCTCAGAGATGCCAAGTTGAGGCCCGGCGGCGGGAGCCGGCGGCTGCAGCGGGCGAGAGCGTCCAGGAGGGTGCCGGGCGGCCGCCGCGTCCCTGGGAAGAGAGAGAAGGTGCGCGGGGGGCGGGCTGGAGGCACGGCCGCGCGTCTGTGACGTCCTTGGGTCCTCCCGTGCTGCGCGCCCGGGCCCCTGCGGCTGGGAGGGGCCCGGCTCGGTCTCTTTCCGGGTAGCTTTGTTGGCAAGCACATGCCACCCTAGCCCCTGGGTCAACGATCTCGCTTGGAGGGGGCACGGTGTCAGCTTTCCCCAAGGTCAGGGTTAAGTCTTGGCCTGGCGTTCGGACGGCGCAGGACTGCCTCTTGTTGCTTTTCCGAGTCAGTGCCTGGCACATCTGCGGACCCCCTACTTTTTCTTTCCCTGCCTGGACAGCGGTGGCCTTTTTTTCCATTTCTCAGGCACCTCTCCTCACAGGTGGCCCTGGTTTGTGTAGTAAGTTTCTTCTGCGACTCTACCAAGAGCCATCTGTCGTGAGGTGTGAGCAGGCAGGCCTGTCGAGACTGTCCCGAGACAAGAGGGGCACGATTCGGACTCGGGCCCTGATCCTGGCACCCCGCCTTCCCCTTCTTCCCCATCATCTAAGTTTGCATTTCTCCGGATCTTGGATGCTGGGGTCCCGGAAGCCCCGGGGATTACTCAGCAGATGCGAACAGAGCGGTGTGGATTCGTTTGACCTTAGTTTTGTAACTTTCCTAAGCCGAATCGGCATTGCTTCTCATACTCAGGACTGTCATTAAGGTATATACATAAAGTAACTCATGCCAACTTCCTGGCCTCGTTATAAATACTCATATATAAGAGTTAGGCATTATTCTAAATTTATTCAGGTGGCAGTGGCGGGCTGGCATGGCACACAATCTTTTGAAGCCTTATCTCGACCAACTCCTTAGTAAAGGAGCCAAGTCTGACTTCTTAGAGTGGAAGGACCAAGCGGAAACTCAAGAAGCATTTTGTTTAAGGACTGACCAGGCTCTGGGAATATGGCTGTTAGTTTTGAACCAAAGCAAAACAAGATAATTACCTGAAACCTTGGCTTCCTTAGCGAGCAAACTAAGGCCAACGACCAATCCCGGTCTAGTTTAAAGTGTCCATAAAAACACTTTCCCTTTCATGGTATTCTCTTAACTCTGAACTCTTCCTCCCCTCCTCCCCAAATGAATATAATATATATATTCTTCACCCAAGGATATGTTTACTGATTTTAGAGCGAGAGGAAAGGAGAGAGAGAAACATCAATGTAAGAGAAATATCCATCTGTTGCCTCTTGTACTCACCCTGGCTGGGGACTTGAACCCACAGCCTTTTGGTGGACAGGAAGATGCTCCAACCAACTGAGCCACCCCTGCCAGAGCTAAAAATATCATATTTAAAGGAACAGAATACCAAGTGAGACTATCCAATTACATAAGAAGAAATTAACTTAGTAATGTCCTGTATTTTCAACACATTTGAAGAAGTTGGATACAGGGGAAATTCAGGTATGAGAACTGAAGTCCCATTAGTAGTCCTAATACAGCACATAGCAGCTGTTGTGTGGCTTGCAGAATGCGAAAAAGCCAACGCTCACTGCTGGGCCTGCCCTTCCACATCTGCCCTTCCAGAGGGCACACGAAATGGAAAACAGCATTGGCAACTCAGTCCGGCAAGTGGTCATATGATTCACTCTTCTTGGCCGCTCTTACTCTGTTGCTCCTACCTATGTGACTCTAATCAAAAAAGAAAATCAGCCTCTCTAAGGCCAAAACATACTGTACTATTTTTTTTCTTTAGTCCTCACCAGAGGATATGTTCATTAATTTTAAAGAGAGAGGATAGGAGAGAGAAAGAAATATCCGTGTGAGAGAAATATTGATCATGCTTGCCCAGGGATCGAACATGCTTGCCCAGGGATCGAACCAGCACCTGTGTTTGTGGCCTGACCAGGAATCAAACCCGCAACCTTTTGATGTACGGGGCAACATTCTGATGATGCTCTGACCAACAGCCACCCAGCCAGGGCTATACTATACCATTTTTTGGTATAGTATACCATTTTTTGAATTTATGGCTTCATTTTGTACTTTTTAAGTAAAATATGAATATCTTCAACTTGAAAAAATTACAGAAAAGTTCTTCTATACAGATTTCCCTTTTGGTTCCACAAAGCCATCTCAGTTTTAACCTGTAAAAACCTTTTCAAAAATATATGAATTTTCCTGAACTAGTAAGAATAGTTCCTCCTTGCTTTGAAGGGTAATTAGTGGCAAGTACATCATATTCTGGAAACTTTTCTTTGTGTAACCTTGCGGACCTTAACTTCCGCATTTTAAAAAATTGGGAGAATTGGATTGAGTTCAAAGCTTTTAAACAAAAAGGTCTGATTCCAGACAGTTAATGAGGAAAGTTTATTTTGTATTATTTTATATATAACATGTATTACATTATGTATGAAATATATTTATAGTGTATGTAAATATACAAATTATATATTTATATACATATACTATATATATCTCTTTCAATCAAGTGAATATAGACAATATGTCAGAATTGGTAAGATTGTATAACTCATCATTCTCTACTTGTGGGATTTTTTTTATTTAAATTCTTCTAAAATGTGATGAATTAGCATCATCTCTCATTATTGAAAAATAGGACATGCAAAAAAACAAACAAACAGGACATGCTGCCTTCACAGTCTGTGGAGTATTCCTGAAGGCTAATGTTGAGGGAGCTTGAAGACTTGTTTTTCAAATGTCATTTGACTGGTTTAACTACCAATAGTTTTTAACTAGATCATTTGTGTCAATGAAGCATGAAGGCTTCACTTCATACAATGGTCCTTTAAAATATGGAAGAGAAAGTTTTTCAGACAAATCGTTCTTCTTTAGTGGATTTGAGAGACATAGATTTGAAATTTTACATGAATTTGTATATTTTGTTATTGTTTTATAATACAAATCATCACCCCCTAATTTACCTATTTTTAATCTTATTTTCATAGATTATTTGAAGCAGTGCTTTGCATTAAGTAAAGTTTTCTTAATATTTGCTCAGTGGATTAAAAAAATGAATTTCACTATAGTTTTCTTAGGAAAAAAAAGTGAAATAAATGCATGAGATAGTTATAGAAGCCTCAACTCCTGGAATGAAAACAAAAATTGTGTTACGGTTCTAAACATACCGTAGTGATTTTGTATGCATTCCAGTCTGATTATGTTACTTCTGCCTAAAATGTCTCCATAGTTTTCCCCACTGCCTGACATCTTTTGTGTATATGGCAAAAACCATGAAGTCATGTGCAGTAATGGATGAACCTATCCTGTGAAAAGAGTGTCACTTAAGTGCTAGGCGATTGCTTGCTAAAGATAGATACCTTGTCAACTGAATGTCAGTTTTGCACGTAACAAGTTGTGCTGCCGAGAACTTCAAAGACCAGACCCCTGCGCTGAGGCGGGTCCCTGGGACAACCCAGCCCCTTCCCGAGTTCCTGACTGGGAAAAAATCAGGAGAGTCAGAAGAATGTACTGTTTGTTCTGGCCAGCACCTGGCGGCAGGCCCCTGCCTTCGGTTTCTCAGAGCTTTCGCTTACAATGACGAATCCTTCCTCCCTCCCTTTGGGATGTTTGTGTATCTTCTACTATTCGGGGCTGTTTTGCACAAGACCCCAAAGCTATTCCCTGGAAATGTGATTTACCAGAAAGGAGGGGCCCCTGTCTCTCAGTTTCAGTGGAAGAGTAAAACCTAACTTAGTCCACGGTCGGCCAGCAACCCTTTCGACACGACCCTTTGTACTGTCGCTGCCCTGACCGCGCCCACTCATTCCTACTCGCTCACTCTTCCCCAGAACACCCAGTCACCACTGTACAAGTTGGAAGGGAGCTTAGCTCTTTCCCCTACTGTCAGTAGCCACTGAATAAAAATCTGTTTTCAACATTTTAATGTCCATTTTTGTTTATCCTTGACAATGGCAATAAAGGAACAGGATACTCCATGTAATTTCAACGTCATTACAAGTTTAGCAAACTAAATATAATTTCTATAAATATGCTTAAGGCAGGAAATTTGTACTTAGGAATGTAAAAGGAATATGAAAAGTCAACACTTCTTAAATAATTATAAAGAAATAACAGCTAAATAAACAATGTAGAATTATTAGCATAAGATTATGTATTAGAGTTCAAATCTGAAATTTGTAGGTATAGGACTTGAACGGTGACAAAGATGGCCCTTTTATTTTTATTTTAAAATTTTTTTAAATTACTGTTGACATTCAATATTATTTTGTATTACTTTCAGGTATATAGCACAGTGGTTAAATAATCATATACTTGACAAAGTGTTCCCCTGGATATTTCTAGTACCCAGTGGGCACCATACATAGTTATTACAATACTGTTGACTGCATTTCCTATGCTGTACTTGAGGTCCCTGTTGACTGTTTTGTAACTACCAATCTGGACGTCTCAATCCTTTCATTCTTTTCACTCAGTCCCCCAAACCCCTCCCCTCTGGCAATGATCAGTCTGTCCTCTGTATGAATCTCTTCCTGTTTTGTACATTCTTTTATATTGTTCTTTAGATTTTACATATAAGTGAAATCGTGAAATTCATTTTTCTCTGACTTATTTCACTTCACGTAATAACCTCTAGGTCCATGCTATTGCAAATGGTAAGATTTCATTCTTTTCAATAGACAAGTAATAGTCCATTGTATATGTGCACCACAACTTTTTAATACGCTGGTCTATTTTTGGGTACTTGGATTACTTCCATAGCTTGGCTGTTGTAAATAATGCTGCAATGAACGTATGGGTGCACATATTCTTATGAATTAGTGTTTTGGGTCCCTTTGGTTACATGCCCAGAAGTGGAATCTCTGAGTCGTAAGGCAGTTTCATTTTTAATTTTTTGAGGAACCTCCATACTGTTTTCCACAGTGGCTGCACCAATTTGCATTTCCACCAGCAGTGCAAAAGGGTTCCCCTTTCTCCACATCCTTCCCAGCACTTGCTGTTTGTTGATTTATTGATGACAGCCATTCTGACAGATGTGAGGTGATATTTCATTGTGGTTTTAATATGCATTTCTCTGATGATTAGTGACGTTGAGCATCTTTTCATTTGTCTCTTGGCCATCTGTATGCCTTCTTCAGAGAAGTAAGATGATCTTTTTAATCAGTAGAAAACGATGACCTAGTCCCTAAATTTGTGTTACGACAATGTGT